TTGTGTCAAATTCTCCCTTGCTAGTGTGTACCACCAATTGGGCAGGATTAGGATGAGACAGCAGCATTAAACAGGACCAGTTCATTCAGTCCAACACACAGCAGTTGTGCTTTGCCATTTGCATCTCCTTCCCCACCACCACAAATCAGAAATTACAGAGAGAGAAAGAGAGAGACAAAGGGAAGAAGGGAGAGAGAAAGGATGAAAGTGGGTGGCTCACCCATCCCTCATCTCTCCCACTTTAGAGAGTGATAAGGCTTAACACTGCTCAAATCAAATCCAAACAAGGTCCGATTTGGGTCTGATTCAAAAATTGAATCAAATCAAATCAGATGGTTTTTTGCTGAAAAGCTGTTTCTCTTTGATTCAAAATTCTTCTCTGGTAATTTCTGTTCCATTTGGTGCAATTTGGCCAATCAAATGTCAGGTGTATTGCAAATATTCGTGATTTGTGGTTAAAACCTTACAGCGCTGTACTGAAAACCTTTTTTTTTTTTTCTTACCACCAAAAATGCACTTTGTTTTCAATACAAAAGAAGAAAACATAAAAAATTATATTTTTTCTTTATTGATTTGCAAATGACTATTGAGAAAAGGTGTGAAACGAGTGAGAAAAAAAAAGTTTTTCTGCATCTAGCTGGAAATACATTGAGTCAAATTGCAGATCTAGCCAGAGTTAAACCCTACAGAGCAACTGCTCACCTATTCCTAAACCAAAACATTTGGGAACAGGAGAATGAATGAAAAAAGCCATAATCAGGGTCATGTGAGCTTGCCCCTCCAGGAGCAAAGCCTCGCGCTTGGAGGGAGAATTCTCACCTCTGACTCCAAAGTACCTGAAACGGCAACCACAGTATTCTGCCCACAGTGCACCCCTGCATGCGTTGTCCTCTAATTTGATGCCAAGCATGCCAGCAACTTGTGGTGCAAGGCGATGAATTGCTAATGTTGTTGGACACTTGGCTTTCTGCTTGTGATGCAGCAATTCCCCTCTGGCAGAGCAGCAGAGGTTACCACTAACCCCTTCCCACTGTTTGATGATAATGTTGCTGAGCAGGAAAGGCTAGGCTAGGGTGGTGGCAAAAGAGCAATGTTCTGTCATTGAGCAGTTGCAAGAAGTGAAGGTGACACATGAATTAATCAGTGAAATCCTCGAACCAATTGTTGAACCACCCCACTCCCAATTAAAGGAGGACGAAGGCTGTGCCCCCCAGACTCGGAGCAGACTTCCATGAAAAACTGCCCAGCAACTGCAAATGCTTTGGCCCAAAAATGCCCTTTGTGACTGTGGAGAATGTGGAGAAGTGCATTACCTGCACAATTTTGGGGCAGATTCTTCAAAAATTAGGTCTCTGCGACCCACAAATACAGATGTGTGTGGCCCTCTGCCACTGCAGACTTGCCATCCTGCAGAGTGGAGAGTGCAGATGTTGGCCAACCGCATTGGCGGTATGCAGCCTTACTGAGGACACAATCTTGTTTTTGCACCCATTGTTCCTTGTCACCACCTGGGTTAAGGTGACAGACTCAAAATCTGTTACTCTCTGGGTGCACAGGTTTGAGTCCTGCCTTTTTCGACAAAGCAGGAGCAGGACTGAAGGGCACGTTAAGCTTGTTTGGCTGTTTGCACTTTTGGTTTAAATTGTTCCACCCTGAGTGTTTCTGCTGTGTTAACAGTCTACTCTGTGTGAGGGAGTAGAAGGAGTGAATGAAGTGGAGATGTGTATTTGTGGGTGGTCCTTCTCCCCAACTTGGAGAGAAAGAGAAAAACTCTATTATGAACAATTGATACATGTTGATGATATGCAAGCTCTATAGTTGCTAGGCGAGCATGACAGGCGCATGGTAAAAACCTCTCCTATATTGTCTGCTTGGGCAGAGGAGGAGGAAAACTGTTTACACTGGATTTCCCTGTTCCACCATGTATTCGGAGTATTTGTAAACAGCACAAGCCAGTGCCCAGGTCTGCATTGGCAGGTGACTCACATCTCCCCAGCCATCATGTAGAACAATAAAAGACAGTCACAATAGGTTCTGGTCCTGTCTTGTGCCTCTTTTTGCTAAGCAGTCAGTTCCGTCTAATATGCTGAAAATGCAGCAGAGCCTGAGAGCGCAACATTTTCCTTCAAGGTGTATGCAATTCACTTATCTTCTGTGAAAGCAGTGTGGAAGTCTCACAGGACAACCCACACCTGGCGGACAATTGGTGTGCAACCCCACCGCAAAACTGTGTGCAACAACAATAGGGCCTAGCTGGTGGCAAAGGGATGAGAAAGATCAGGTGGATGGATTGTGCAGCTTTGACCAAACGTGGTGGACAGCAGCTGCTGTATGGTTGCTTGCAAAGAACCAACTGACAAGGATGCTCTCTGTGCTCAAAATACAATAATACAATAAAGCAAAACCCCACCAAAAACAAGAAACACAAAAGGGAAGACATGCAAAACACGTGGGGAAACACCCAATTTCTCAAAAGGGTGCAACAAAGAAAGCACCTGGAATACATTGTTGGGGCTCAGGAGGGACATAGTGTGATAAGTCCTGCACAAACAAATCAAGCCAGGCCACGCAAATTGAGAGTTTGGATGTGATTCGGAATTGGGATCAAATCTAATCCAGCCATATTGATATGAGATGTGTTTGTTGTTTGTGTTCAGTCATGCCACAGCGCCAAGTCAATCACATTGGACGATATTCAAAACTTAATTAATTGATACACTGCAGAAGCCATGCAAAATCAGCCATTGGGGTATGACTTGTGCTGCAGTCACTTTTGTCCTGCCTGAGCGCAGTTTCAAGTCTGCAACTCCAAGCAGTCCAATCTGATCTGACCCAATCCTAACTGAAAAAACAAAATCAAAAGATTGTGCTGAGATTGAGTAGTGCCATGTCTGTGATTGAACCTAAGACTGTCTTCCACATCCATTTCGATGTTCAAGAACAACAGCTTAAGTTAATTTTTTCTTTCCACGTTTGGAGAAAGTAAAACAATCCAACACACTGCCTTCTTGGCTCAGTTGGCAGAGCGTCTCCCTAGTAGCACAGCATTCCTAAGTGGAAGGAGAAGGTCACCAGTTCAATTCTGGTAGAAGGCATTGATGTGTTTAAAATCCCTGCTCCTTTTGAACACGCTGTCCAGCTGTGCTGGTCCACAATGCTCATTGACAACCCCAAACACTCAATCCTAATCTCTGAGCAGCAAGCACCATTAGGCTGCTTGGTGCACAAACTTCTCCTTTGGTGCCAACATGCCCCCGACAGTTCCAACAGAGCAGAAAAAAATAGGGGAAAAATGGAAAGAAGGGGAAGAAAAAGTAAAAATAAAATAAAATAAAATAAAATAAATTAAGGTGTTGTGCAACACTTGAAGATTGCTATTGAAACTGGTGGGAAAGAATGGGGGATCCCTGGATCACACAAAGGAAAATCTACCAGAGATCTGAAGGAATAAGGTACTGGCAGTCCACCATCAATTACCATCAATTACTATCAATTACCATGTAAAACAACCTCAGTGCCACCACAATTAATCCTTGCATCATAAAGGGCCTAGCCTTGTGTGCTGCTGAAACTTCTTCATGCACACAGAGGAGAAGCACTCGATCTGACACCCCAAAAGAGTCTAAGAACATGGAGAATCGGGGTATCGATCCCCGTGCCTCTCGCATGCTAAGCGAGCGCTCTACCATTTGAGCTAATTCCCCCTGGATGGAGGCTGACGTGCAATTATTCTACATGCACGCACAAATTTTGAGCACAATTGAATCACGAGGATGATGGATTTGCGATATTTTAACAAAGGTTACAGTGCAGGTCATAAGCTCTGAAACTCTGCCAAAACCCTGCAAGAAATAGGTGCTGGTGCTGGTGCGAGGCTCACAGCTGTTGTGCGTGTTGGGTTATACTGCATGCACAAGCCAAGTTTAGGAGGATAGCTCCAAAATGAACAGACTTGCCAAAGCGGTAGCACATCTGCAATCAATACAAAAGGATCAAGTATAATGAATTTTGCCTGAAAAAATAGAGAGACATTGCAGAACCCCCAAAAGTTCTGTCAAGATGTGCCAAATGTGGCTCAGGATTGGATAAAGTAACCATAAATGTTGGACTGATTGTGGTTGACTGTCACACTGAGTTTGGCACAAGGTCACTAGGTTGTAAAATTAAAGTCCACCGACTGTCTGCAAGGCTGTAACAAAGCGGCATGATAGGGGCATGCATTGGCAAGGTTCACAGGGGGTGTCATATTGCAAGGGATGTAAGATTAACTGGGGAAAGAACTGGCAGTCAACAAGGGGAAACCAGAATAATAATGTGAAACAAGAGTTCAGGAAGAAACAATCAATCCTTACTAACCAAACAGAAATGGGAAGAAACAATCAACTGCAAGGAAGGCTTAAGCAAGAAAAGTAGGATGACTTAAGGTCTGTAGAAATAGGATCAAAGTAGAAGCTCGGAGGTGCCAAACGTCAGTCTGCCTTGCGTCAACTTGGTAAATGACTATTCCACCTACAGTGGAGGAATCCCATCTGCAGGACAATCTCCATCAAAAGCTCTTCCAGAGACCTGACTGTGGGCTGAAATCCAAGTGTGCGGCATTCTTTGTGCTTTTGATCCAACTCCTCAAAGCTTGATCTCACAGACCTCCTCAGTGAGTCAAAGAAGACTAGTTAGCCAGCGACCTTTGGTGCCTTGCCTGGCCCAACCCAAGCCAAGTGACTGGCTCATATTGTACAGTGGGGTGACAAATGTTTTCGGGCCACTTCAAAGTTTCTTATGACAGTCCAACAATCAGTTTAACCTTTATTCTGCTTTCACAAACGCCACTGTGCGATTGGCGCACCCATTCAAGTTTGGAAGTAACCATCAACCAATTTTATCTAGGGCCTGCTAACTGCAGCAGTGGGGAACCCCAAACTCCACTTCCTACCAGGCACACAATTTTCTGTTCTATATCACAAGCTTCAATGTCCGCAAAAATATGTCCTCCCTGCAGCAAATCCAAAAGATTAATGGATTGTGATGTGCTGCAATCAGGCTGTTTGCCCACCAATTTTGATGGCAAATGGTTGAGAATTGATGAAGTTATTGCGTGGAAAAGAATTTGAGTGGTGGCTGAAAACCCTTGTCACTCAGCTGTACCAACACGATTCCTGAATCCAGTCTGTCATATATCACAGTACCAATACTTTGACATATCACAACAAGACACAAGTCAAACATATTGAACCCAATGAAGCCACTCTTATAATCAATGTCTTGAAAATCAGTTTGCCTCAGCCCAAAAGCCAAATTCAAGTTGAATGAAATGAAGCTTGATAGCAGGGCTATACCTGGTTTTATTTGCAAGGGACCTTGTTAACTTAAGCATTGGGATAGTTTTTGATGGCTGCATGTTTATTACTCCTTTATGACTCTTGCTGAGTCAGGATAGAGCTCAGCCGTCTTAGCTCATCTGGGAGAGCGTAAGACTGAAGTAGCCACATGGTCGTCTGTGCAGGGGCTCTCTGGCAATCTTAAGGCACCCGGTTCAATCCCGGGAGACGGCATGATACAGTCGTATCTGGCACTGTAGCACTTTGGATTTTCTGCAGGGCAGACTGTGCAGCTGGTCAGGCCCAATGGACCTTTTTTGTGCATTTCAAGCCTCTAAGCACTTGATTGAAATACTGATGTCCACAAGACTGGCAATGTTTTCTGTTCTTCTTCTCTCCATACATATGAGAGGGTTCATTTTCCTGTTGACTTGCAAGGTTTGAACCTTTGCTCTCCTTTTCGTTACAAAGTGTCAGGAACAGGGCAGGACAGGACAAGGCAGACAAGGAACTGAGAGGAGTGATGATTGTATTGGAAACAATAATTCACTTGAGGGATGGGACAGGTCCCCCATCCCCCTTTTATACCTTTTGAGAGTGTTCCTTGTCAAGACTCCAAGAAAGTTCCAGAAAGAGCAATTAGTAATGCAATGATACCAATGATACCAATGACAACAAGACAAGTCAGGAAAGCAAAGAAGGTTCCAGAAGGTTCCACAAGGTTCCATGAAGGAATGTTCTAGAAGGTTCCAGAAGGTTCCAGAAGGTTCCATGAAGGAATGTTCTAGAAGGTTCCAGAGGTTTCCAGAGGGTGATTCATAACACAAAGGGACTCAGCATGATTTTATTGCACAAATTTCACAGTGGTGCCCATTCTCAAATGCTCAGCATGGTGCCATCATATGATGAACTAAACAGCACAAGCGCTTTTTCTCTCAATTGTTGCATCATTTGATGGTGTTTGGAAAAATTCAAGAAAAATGAGTGAAAATATGCACTGCCAGATTCAATATGCGCATCAAGCACTAAATATCTCTTGGTAAGTGCGGCCAGTGGAGCCTGGTTAGCTCAATCGGTAGAGCGTGTGACTCTTAGTCTCCTGCCACGTGCGTTTCGACACACTTGCTGGATCCTGCAATCACAAGGCTGTGGGTTCGACCCCCACATCGGGCGCTTTTATTTTTTTTCTTTTTTCTTTTCTATTTTTTTCCGTTTTTTTTCAGTTTTTTTTTTTTCAAACACCACTTCAATTACCTCCCAGGCGGGGAATCGAACCCCGATCGCCACCGTGAGAGGGTGGAATCTTAACCATTAGACGACCTAGGAATGGTGCCACGAGTTCTTTCTTCATAACCGGTTTTGTAAATTGACCAATCCCTTGATGTTGCGACAGTGTGGTTGTGCGGTGGGTTAGGGTTACAGGAAAGGAAGGTTTCCTCCTACAAACAAATGATTTTGCTACCATTTATATGTTGGTGATGTGCCATGGCAAATCAGAAAGGTTCAAGGTCCTGTGTCCTATGCACAAGAGCACTGTTCAGGTTTTGGCTGATTGGCCACTGTGGGGATGGATGAAGTACACTACTGAAGGTGTGGTGGTGAGGTTGAAGCTGATTTCTGTCTGCCTTGTGTTTGTTGCTATACAAAACTGCTACAAGGACCAAAACTCAATCTCCCTTGCACAAGGTGCCCAATTGCCCCACAGTGTTAGGTTAAACTTCCTGTACACTACTTACGCCAACAGACCCAAACCAAACAGGTGCATCAAAAACGGCTTGCTGTGTAAGACACAAGTTTTGCCAGTGACTGGAAGATTGGCTTACAATTGTATATCCTTCCCATCCCACCCCATCCTGACACAATTTTGCCCAAAGGTTCCACATCCACCTTCCACCAGTGAGTGGTCAAGGAGCTTGTGCCAGGCTTCCACAGCATTTGCAGGCCAAAACAACCAGCCCCTTGTGCGCCATCAAGGCTGGGTGTTGGAGCGAGCGTGCCAGGGGTCGAACCTGGAATCTCTTGATTCGTAGTCAAGCGCGGTAACCATTTTGCCACACGCCCTTGGCTTGGTGCGTGCTGCTGGCTTATCTAACGCCCTTTCTTGGAGCCTTGCTTTGATTGCAATCTAGGGGCTTGTTAAGCAGCTGCAGATCAGAAACTATATCAGGCAATTCTTGGCAGCATCAACTACCTGGCAACACACACACGACTGGGGATCTCGCTCCAGCAGTTTTGGTATCTCAGCGCTTTCAGCAAAGATCACAGAGAGCAGCATATGAGAATTCTCAATGTTGCTGGCTACACTGACACTGCCCACAGCGTCCACTCAGATGGAAAATCACAGCTCAGCTACAATGTTCTTTTTGGAGGACCCACTATCATCTGGACATCTGTTCAGACCAGCACTGTTATGTTGTGAGTAACCCTGAGGAAAAATGACATTTGCACTGGTCCCAGTGCTATTGACACTTCTACCTGCATGAGCACTTGGAGGTGGTCTTGGCTGCTCTGGCCTCGAAGCCTCAAACCATTTTGCAGCAAGCTTCTGGTCCTTGAAGTCCAAATGAAACAGTCAGAGCTAGAAGGCTATCACAGCCACCCCAGCCAACCTGCAGTGTGAAAGGGGGACCCACAGCAGCTCAGGAAAAGCATGATAAGCCTCAAAGTGTTGGGGCAAGATGAAGGTTTTGTTTCGAAAGGTTGAGAAGAAACAAATAATTCCCAATTAGAAGGAGTAACAGTGGTTCAGTGGTAGAATTATCGCCTGCCACGCGGTAGAC